GAAAGAGGAAGTTACTGAAAGGCCTGGTGGAAAACCAAGAGACAGCTGTGCCCTTTACCATGGCCAGGAGAGATGGCATGGACACTCTTCTGCCTGGCTGGATGACCAGGACACCACAATGTGGACAAAATGACCTGAAGGATCAAGTGTTTTTAGGCAGTGAGAGAAGTTCAAAGACGGAGGGGAAAGAATTCAGAAGAAGCAGCTGTAGGATGGGCAGTAGTCACGGGGGAACCCCGGCGGCCTCCACCCTCCCTGTCCCACCACGCACCAGTTTAGCCCTGGTCCAGGGGCTCCCCACTGGGCTCTGTGTCTGGAGGCTAAGCCCACAGTATCTCTGCCCTTCCTGCTCTGATGGTTTGAGAGTCCCTGTCAAAACCCGGGTCAACACTTGTCAGTAATGGCCCTGGGCGGTGAAACCTGCGGAGGGGGTCTGGTCATGGGGACATGGCCCTTGTGGCGGGCTGCCTGTAGGGCGAGATCTCCGGCTCCTCCTGACCACGCTGCAGCACCGACTCGGCACCACACTCAGACTTCCCAGAACCAAGAGGAATAAGTCCTTTTCCTTGTACCCCGCAGCAGGAAATGGACTGCAAGACTGGTCAATCACATTACCTAGGGCCATGAAATCCCCGCCCCCCCCAGCCACCTTCCAAGCCCTGCTGCTCTATATTCTACTGAAAGTGTCCCCACAGTCAGAACTGCAGCGCTAGCACAGATGTCGCTTCTCCTGCTGGAGCACTCTGTGAGGCCAGGATCTTGGCCTCCCTGGTGCCTCTAGCACAATTGCATGAGGCTCCGCCTGAGCCAAACAGTCCTGGGGCTGTTCAAGGACAAGCTCCTTAAGACCAAAGGGGCTGAAGGAGGGAGCTTAGGGAGACAAAGCCGTCTTCACACCTGCATAGCCACCAGCTGTTCCCCTTCACACCTGTGCCCCTTCACACCTGTTCCCCTTCATACCTGTGCCCTTTCACACCTGTGCCTCTGTACAATCACCATGCTGTTCCCCTTTACACTTGTTCCCCTTCACACCTATGCCCCTTCAGACCTGTTCCCCTTCACACCTATGTCCCTTCACACCTGTGCCTCTGCACAGTCACCATGCTGTTCTGTTAGAGTCTGTAAACAAGTCTGGAAAGAAAAAGAAAGTTCGGATGGTGGCCCATTACGGGGAGCCCCAGGACACTCAGGGGTAAGTGACGGGGAAAAAAAAAAGCTGCCCGTCCATAGATAGGGCGGGAGCAAATCTGCTCGTCCCTAGAAAGATAGGGCGAGAGGAAAAATGGCCATTTCGAGAAAATGGAGAAGATTGATACGTATGTTTGTGTCTTGTTTTGTCTTGAAATGTTGTATTGTCTTTGTGACGAAAATATGGAAGGGGTGAAAAGTAAATTACTAAGGGAAGAAGGCACCCCAATGGAACCAAGAATAGTTAGGGCATGTGTTGATAGAAGCCCAGGAGCTCTAGTCAGAAAGAAAAAGAAAGTTCAGAAGAAGAAAGATTATCAGGAAAAAAGTTGCAGCAAAAGGCTATTACTAAATACTTTTCGTTACCGGAGGGTGCGTGAAGCGGAGAGGTGGCTGCCGAGTGTGCAAGCCGGTCACAGCGCAGCAAGGATTTTCCAAGAGGCGGCGGCAACCGGCTCTTCCCCGCCCCCTGCCCGGGGAGCGGGACACCACTGCGAGAGCCCAAATCCAGGCACAGTCTCGCAGGCTCTTGCTCCCTGTGCCCAGTGGCAGTTTGAGTCCGGGACACTCCCCAGGGCCATCTGGGGCTGCCAGGGACACTACAGCCAGCAGAAGATGCTACCGGCGTCCCTGAAGTTTGATCATTTCCAAGGCCAGTAACTACAATGGTTCTCCCACACCTGGAAGCTAATGAGTAATGAGCACTATATTAAGGCTTATTTCAAATGTAAAAAACCTTGAGATAATGTACTAAATTGTTCAGAAGGTTGTTTTCTTAGCGCCTGCTGGAATACTACAGGATTTTCTTAGGCACCCGGAGTTCCTGCCTTCGTCCCAGTGCCGGTGAAGACAAAGGTGGAAGAATTTCCAGTGTTGCTGAAAACCGGAGGAAACTTCGGCTGAGAAATGGACGAGACTTCGGAGCTGTTGCTGTTTCTGCTACTACTGCTTAGGCTAGCTGCCTGCAGAACTTACCTGGACTGTGATTTAAGCTAGCTGCCTGCAGAACTTACCTGGACTGTGATTTACCTGGACTGTGAGTTAATCTATTGAGACACTGCTTTACCTGGACTGAGACAACAAACTGTAATCTACAACAACTTGTAACTCGGTATCTTTGCTAACGGTGTCATTGCTGGTATAATTTTTCCAAGGGCTTCTTGCATGGAGCCATCAATTGGCTTGGTATTGTGGCATTTTGTATCCTCCCCTTCTGCTTGTAGCAGATTATTTATGGTGTTTGTGTAAAAACCACTATGGTCATTATTTAAATTAAACAAAAGGGGGAAATGTTAGAGTCTGTAAACAAGTCAGGATGGCACCTGGAATTTTGCCAGGGGAATGTTAGAGTCTATAAACAAGTCTGGATGGCGCCTGGCATATTGCCAGAGGGAGTGGTTTGTGAAGTAACGCCAGCGAGCCATTAAGTGTGGAGATTCCTTATTGGTTGACTGATGTATCTAGTTTATGCTAATTAAGATACGCTGTGTGGAATGTATCTATACCCCTCCTGTCCTACAATAAACGGCTTCCACTCCTGCTGTATCAATCTACACAAGTTGTTCGTCACCCCCCCCCCCCCGGTTATTTTGCTACAGCCGGACTGCGGCACTGTTCCCCTTCAAACTTGTGCTCCTTCACACCCATGCCCCTTCACACCTGTGCCCCTTCACACCCATGTCCCTTCACACCTGTGCCCCTTCACATCTGTGCCTCTGCACAATCACCAAGCTGTTCCCCTTCACACCTGTGCCCCTTCACACATGTGCCCCTTCACATGTGCCCTGTGCCCTGTGCCTGAAATCTGAAATCTTCACAGCCAGATCAGGACAGGATGTCCCCTCCCCCTTTTTGAATCCTGGTTACCCACCAAGCTAGGGCCTGGCCGCTCTGAAGCCCAATCCTGGTGCTCTTCTAGGCCCTTTGTCCCCACAGAGCACACCTGAGTGGTGGCAGGAGCCTGCCTTGGGGAGGTCTGGCTGCAGAGAAGCCGGCACAGCAGGGCAAGGCAGCAGGGCAGGGCACAGGAAAGCTGGAGTCAAGCTGGGAGGTGGAGGGACCCACCCTCAGGAGCTAATCCTGCAGCTTTCCACCACCACTGCAGGGGAAAGCCTGAGATGATTCAGATTCCCAAACAGCTGAAATCCAAAGCTCTCTGGAAGGGAAGTGTGGGAGCCCAAGGAGAAGGTCAACCAAAGGCAGAGCTGGGAACCTTTGCTGGCCCAGGCACGGCCACTCTGGGTCCCACAGTTCACCTGAACATGGCTGAGTTGGATCTGTATCCTCTCTCTGCTGTGATGTTTACAGAGTTAAGTGACGTCCGTGAAAGTTCCCAAAGAGGCTGCCAACATGAGCGCATTTTAAAAACAACACACAAAGGGGGAAATTGAGAAAGGGAGAGCCCCCTTAAGTCTCAGCATTCCAAAGCAGAAACTCACTCCCCTGGACCTCCTTGAGAATTACCTGTGCCTTAGTGCTGGGGTGTCAACAAATGTTTCAGGGACTTCACAGAATGTAAAAAAGGCATTGTCCTTGTGGTCAAATCATCCATAATCTAAAGGACTCACACATGTAGAATCACGACAGCGGACAGCCTGTGTTCAGTGTTGTAGCTGGACACAAACTGTCTCCGAGAAAACTGAAAGAACAATTTCTGGCAACAGCCAGGAAGACGAAGCATTAGATCAGAGCATTGCAGAATGGATGTTTGGACAAGTAAGTTGACTGGAATTAACTTTGGAGCAGGAGACCTGCCAGCCAGGGCAGGCACTTGAAATCAGAACCTCAGCCAGTGACCAGGGTGACAACAGCACAAGATGCAGGCAACATGTTATGACAGAAAGGGCAAAAAGGCATGTTTACTTAACCAGCTAGGCGCACTTTCTTCAAGTCCCTGCCACGTGCTGACCCCCAGGGAGGTGGCAGGGCTCTCGACAGGTGCCTGTGGACGACTGTCCGCCAGGCAGGAGGCACCAAGGGAGGGGCTGCAGCAAAGCTAGTGATGGAAGCCGCAGCCCAAGGAGAAGGAGCAGTGTGTACAGAATCTGAGAGCAGAGCCAGGGTGTGGCCGCCCGAGAGCTTAGCTAGGGGAGGCAGGCAGCCTGGAGCACAGGAACCATGCAGAGGGGGATCCCGAAGGGCTTGGGGAGAGGGGACCACAGAGAGGATGCCACAAGGCCAATCCTTTCAGAAACATGTAAGGAGGACTGGGCCTGGTGTCCACGTCTGTTCCACCACCTCAAGACATCGAAGCGAGAGGGCTCAAAACCCACCGAGCAGAACCACTACTTGAAAGTATGCACCTGCGTGCTCTGCCTCCCCCTTCTCAGGCCCCTGGCCATGCATTTTCTTGCCAACCCCAGAGGCTGCTGGATTGGAGGTCAATCCTAGACCCCAGGTAAGGAAAAAAGAAGGAATGGAGAGACTCAAGTGGCAGTGGTCTAGACCTGCCTGAAAAGATACAGATTCAGACTGTTAAGTTTCAATTTCAGATGAACATGAATTGTGTTTCATGTCAGTACCACCCACAAAAAAAAAATGCCCAGGATATCACACGAGGTGCACTACCACAACAGCGAAACCTGCCTGATATTCTGAAATTCGGATTCAACCCATCATCCGCTATCTTCATGGTCTGCACCTAGCACTATCTGCACCTAGCACCCTACCATGGCTCCATAGCTGGAGTGGCCATTTGCCCTTCAAGGACACTGCCCTCAGAGCAGACCTCTGTGGCACAGCCTGGCCCACCTGCCCTGCCTCCTCCTCCCTCTCCTTCCCTCAGGAAGGGCAGCGTCCCAGCCAGGACTCACCTGAGCTCTCTCAGGAGACAATTTCCCATCCTCCCACAGAGCTCTGCTTCTCAGCTCCAGCTTCACTCCACGGGGCAATCTTGACCAGAGCAACGCCCTGCAAAACACGCAAGGTCCTCGTGGCATCTGACCACTCGCTTGAGCTCCTGCCAAGTGCTGGCTGCCGGGGGAACGGGCAGGAGTGAGCAAGCAGAGACGGCCCTGAGGGGAGGGGAAAAGAACCGTGTGCACATGCAAGAGAGTTCATGCACACGCACAATTACAAGGTATGGGCAAACCAGGGTGCACAGCAGCGAATCTAAGACTCGGCTCTTTGCTTCAAAGAAATTCCAGGCTCAAGACCAGACAGGGTAGGTGTCTGCCTGTTCCTCAAAAGCCTGAGAGCTCAAGACTCCCAAATGCCTTTCCTTCCCAGCACATAAAAAGAAAATATCTTCTTAGGCAAAGGGAAAAAAATAAAATTTATTTTTGTGGCTCTGGCCATGAAAATCAAATCACATGTCGGAGCCCCTTTCTCCAAATCTGACACTTCCAACGACAAGATGGGAAGAGAAAGGAGTGTGTATATGGGGCACACTGAGACCTTCTGCAGTAGGTGGAGGAGCAGCAGCTCTCCTTCCAGCTGTCACCTCCAGGGCTGATGTGGCAGGAGGAAGGATGCAGAGCCTGACTGGCCTCCCTCCATCTGGCCTGTGCTTCCTGCCAGGCCGCCCACTGGAGCCACAGTGCAAGCTGGTCCTGATGATAACGCCAAGGCACCACCATCAAGGGCAGGAGATAAGCCAACAGCTGACTGAGCCTTTGCTCTCAGGGGAGAGAAGCCCCTCTAGCAGCCTCCAGCCTGGGAGGTGCTCCGCAGGTAGCAACTCCTGCAGGATTGAGCCAAGGCAAAATCCATTTGCGGGATTCAGAAGCTGCAGCTGGTCCACTTCAACTCTTTCCCCCAGGGAGAGACTAGAGCTGAGGAGTTTCAACTGTTAGCCAGCAGCAGAACGCAAGGATCTGAAGGACTGCATCTCGTTTATCAGTTTCACGCTGTTCCTTTTGTTGTTGTTGTTGATCGCAAATGTGAGAAGATTAGGCAGAAGCCGGGGTGCTGCACACCTGGGCTCAGGTCATGGTTCACCTGAGTCATACCTGAAAACCAGCACACCAAGCTCCACTGCCGACTTTCTCACATGTGCCAGTCATCCAAGGACCCTGTCAGGGTGCAGATTCTGATTCTGTCTGATGGGTCAGCATCCTGCCTTTGTGACAGGTGCCCAGGGGATGCCTGCAGGTCCTGCAATCGCAAGGCACCTGGCCAGGTGTGCTGCTGGGTGGTCCTTGAGCAGCAGCAGCAGCACTGAGACCACGCCTCAGGTTGGCTGGGTCAGAAACCTGCTGGGCAGTGCTCCAGCTGCCTGCTAGAGTGCGGGACCTCAGGCAGCCCTCTTTCTCACACATGACTCCTCAGTCCCCAAGGCTCCGCTAAGCAGGACAGGCCTGCTGCAGCACAGAAGGCCTGGGAGTCATGCAGCATCTCACACTAGCTGGAACCCAGCTGGGGAAGGACGGTACTCAGCTCCATTACCACCGACTGAACAGTCAGCCTCCCACCTGCCTCGCCTGCTCCCTGGCATGGCCACCTCCATCCTGCAGGACGCTTTGCCAACCTCAATCCTTTGCAGGCCTCAATCCTCTGCATTTCTGCTTGGTCTCTGCCCGGGATCCTGTCCACTGGCAATTGAGGGCTCACCTACCTGGAAAGACAGAATCACCTCCATCTGCTCTGACAGCACTACCACGTCACTCTGGGTCTCAGTGCCAGATGTCCAGTGAGATATGCTTCTTGCTTACTAAATTACTATGTGCTTGGTGTGGGAAAATCTAGAAACTATAAGAGAAAAGAAAACCTCCAGAATCCTACTACCCCAAAATAAGCCCACAGACCACTACTTCCTAGGCCATTTTTTGTTGTCAAGACATAATATTCGTATCATTTTATGGGTAGAGTATGATAATTCAATATGTGTTGTTGAGACATAATATTTGTATCCTTTTATGAGTTTGAGTATGAAAATTCAATCTTTGTAATCACTGTAGTGATTTAATCAGAGTGATTGGCATGTCCATCTCCTCACATGTTCCTCACCTGCCTGTTAGACCTTCCAGCAACCACCCCATCTCCAAGTACATCCACAGCCCTCTGAGAGCGCCTGAGTACTCTAATGACCACCTCCACAGCCCTCTCAGCATCCGAGTACTCTGATGAGCACCTCCATAGCCCTCTGAGCACCTGAGTACTCTGATGAGCACCTCCATAGCCCTCTGAGCATCCAAGTACTCCACAGCCCTCTCTGAGCACCTGAATACTCTGATTGCACCTCTGCAGCCTGCTGTGAGCTCCTGAGTACTCTAATTGTACCTCTGCAGCCCTTTTTCAGCACCTGAGTAATCTGATGAGCACCTCCTCAGCCCTATCTGAGCCCCTGAATACTCTGATGAGCCCTCCACAGCCCTCGTGAGCCACTGAGTACTCTGATGAGCACCTCCACAGCCTTCTCTGAGCTTCTGAGTACTCTGATGAGCACCTCCACAGCCTGCTGTGAGTGCCTAAGTACTTTGATTGCCCCTCTACAGCCCTCTCTGAGCACCTGAGTTCCCTGGTGAGCACCTCTGCCACCTGCTGTAATCACCTGAGTACTCTGACTGCACCTCTGCAGCCTGCTGTGATCATCTGAAAATCCTGAGGAGCACCTCTGCAGCCTGCTATGAGCACCTGAGTACTCTGATTGCCCCTCTGCAGCCTGCTGTGAGAGCTTGAGTACTCTGATTGCACCTCTGCAACCCTGTCTGAGCACCTGAGTATTCTGATGAGCACCTCTGTAACCCTGTCTGATCACTTGAGTACTCTGATTGCACCTCTGCAGCCTGCTGTGATCACCTGAGTACCCTGATGAGCACCTCTGCAGCCTTCTCTGATCACCTGAGTACTCTGACTGCCCCTCTGCAGCCTGGTGTGTGTGCTCTGATGAGCACCTCTGTGGCAACTGCACAGACCCAGTTGTTCAAATATTTCCAAAGTGGAGCTCATCTTTGCACATTCTTTTCATACCATCATAGATGTTTTCAAAGACCACTTTCCTCCTGGATTTATTGAGGCATACTTGATATACAAAAGAAGAATATAATTAACATGTACAATTTATTGAGCTGTATTAAACATCCATTTCTGTTACCACAATCAAGATAATACACATAGCCATCACCTCTATAATTTCCTTGTGTGTCTGTGTTCTTCTGCTTTTATTATTGAGCACCTCCACAGAACACGTAACATGAGATCTGCCCTCTTAACAGACTGTTAAGTGAACAATGCCTTATTATTAACCATGAGCACTATGTGTAACAACCCACCTGTGGGATGGGAGCCAACTTTGCAAACCATATATCTGATAAGAGGTCAATTCCAAAATATGTAAAGGTTCATTCAACTCAGTAGCTAACCACATAAACAAGCAAATAAACCCCAAGTTTAAAAATTGGCGAAGGACTTGAGTAGACATTTCTCCAAGAAGTGGCAGGACTGTCCAGCAGGTGTGTGCCAGAAACTCCTGTCACCAGTCACTGGGGAAACACAAATGGGTGGCATTGTGTTAAGTGAACAAGCCAGGCACTCGAGGATTGGTACTGCTTGGTCTACCCGTGTGGAATCTGAAGTTGTTCTCATGGGTGAGACTGCAGTAGTGGTCTGCAGGGGCTGGGAAGGCCAAGGGCAGGGCAGAGAGGGTACAGGGTGGCTGAAACACTAGAAGGAGAAACAAGCTTGGAAGTCTGCTTTTTTCACAAGGAGAGCATGGATAATGACACGTTTTATATATTTCAAAGTAGCTAGAAGAGAGGATTTTGAATTTTCTTACCATAGAGAAATGATAAATGTTGAAAGTGATGAAAATTGACCCAATTTGTTCATACATGTATTGAAATATCACACTGTGTCCTGTAAACATGTATAGTTATTATGTGTCAATTAAAAATAAAATAAAGCATATAAGAGAGAAAAAGTCATAATGCTACATTTTTTAGGATGATTATTATAAAATACATCCTAATGTCATCACTGATAGATGTAAAGCATCCCAATGTACAATCATTTAGCAAAAAAACAAGTAGTTTTTGCAGTAATTTCAGTTTTTCTATTATAATAATGCTGAAATTAATGCTCTTATCAATAAATCTTGACATGATATCATTGACAATGTTTAAGATTTTTAATATTAGTTGGCAAATTTGTCTCCATGAAAAACTAGATATTTGTACTATTAAATCTGCATCAGCAGCTGCAGGCCAGAGGGGGCGCTCTGACCCAGCCACTTGGGCAGGCAGGGCCAGCCAGAGTGACTTCCTCTGGACCTCCCTCCTTGTGTTGGCATTTGCAGGTAACAGAATCAAAATTCCCTACCCAAACCCAAACCTGATGCAATTATTTCATTTTCAAGGCATGTTCAATAAAATGAGGATCAGTCATTAGAAAAGCCAGCATCCCAAGAAATTAGATGTTTATTTTCAAATACCTAAATGTTGCTTGATGAAATTTAAATTCTACTACATTTATAATATGAAAGAAAGAAATTGGCTCAGGTTTGAGGAATAAGAATGAAGATTGGTTGGTTTTCATCTCATGCTGTTATGCTCAAATTCGGGACCCCCAAAAGACCACCAGAGACCAAGATCGATGTAAGTAGCAAAAAGACGTTTATTGCAAGCTAGCTCATCCTCTGCACGCACACAGCAACTGGTGACGCTGAGAAGCCCCAAGCCCAGGGTTTGCAGCAGTTTTATACACTCTTTGGGGAAGGCAGGGACTTCACATACATCATAGCATCTCTTAGCAAATCATCACACACCTCAGGAAAATCATAAAACAACTCTTAACATTGATTAGCACATTCACTGGTGGGAACAGGTTGGGTAGGGGTGATTGGTTAGTACAAGAGGGGGATTCGTTTGAACTGATTGGTTTAAGTCACGAGGGGTGTACACGCTAAACTACATGGTTTCCCAACATGTTATCAATCACCATAAACTACTGGGAGGGTCATCTGGCATCCCAGGTATTTTCCCTATCTCATGCTGATTGGAGGTTGCTAGGGGGTCCCCACCTAGCCTGACTGAGTCAGGGACACCTGGCGCACGCAGCAAATCTCTCCTGTTATTTGTAGATAAAAAACTCAGCAGGGTGGGTATGTGCCTAGGAGTGCTCTATGGGTCTTTC